ATTCACTATGCAGGTTTGTTTGTTATACGCAATCAAATAAAACACTTATAATGATATATCACTATCCAAAATATTAAATATTTATAACCTCCCTTTCATGAGACAAAATTTCATGACTGACAATCCATCTATGAATAAAATGCTGGGACCGCAGAGGTCGAACCCTGAACAGTTGGGGCAAGTATGGACACAACATTCAAGCTTGATACAGCACTGGATTTGGATTGTGATTAAATATTTGACACAGCATAGGTTTCCGACACAGAATGAATGTGGACTAAGAACTTAAAAATTTTTAATTTACCTATCCAAACCATATCATTATTATTGGCTTTTATATATAAATCAGAAATAACCAATTTAAAATGGAAGATTTAAAGAAAAAAAAATGAAAAAAAATTCCCTCCCCCAAATTTTTTGAACCCCCTTATGATTCATCACCCCCAAACTCAATCCCAGCCTTCCCTTTCTGGTATGGTACCTTGCAGTATAATTTCAGAGAGATCCTTACACTTGAACACAAGTTATTGTCTGGAAACTACAAAAATGCTTATTTTTGGCCCCTTTTTCCTAAACGTTTTAGGAAATTACCCCCACACTCAATTTAAGCTTTCCAATTGTGATATGGAACCTTGTAGTACAATTTCAGAAAGATCCATACACTTACACACAAGTTATTGTCATGAAACTAGAAAAATGTTAGAGAGATCCATGCACTAACACACAAGTTATGTCTGGAAGTTACAATAAAATGCTCCGCAGGGCGCAGCTTGATACGACCGCAGAGGTCGAACCCTGAACAGTTGGGGCAAGTATGGACACAACATTCAAGCTTGATACAGCTTTGCATTTGGATTGTGATTAAATATTTGACACAGCATATGTTTCTGACACAGAATGAATGTGGTCTAAGAACTTAAAAATTTTAAATTGGACATTCACATATTATGGTCCAATATCCAAAATCTAAATACATGGTTAGATTCAGCATATCAAAGAACCCCAAGAATTCAATTTTTTATGAAATCAAACAAAGTTTAATTTTGGACCCTTTTGACCTCAATGTGGACAAAGTTGATAATGGGGCCCAAAAATCAAAAATCTAAATACATGGTTAGATTCAGCATATCAATGAACCCTATATATTCATTTTTTGTTGAAATCAAACAAAGTTTAATTTTGGACCCCGATTTGGACCAACTTGAAAACTGGGCCCATAATCATAAATCTAAATACATGTTTAGATTCAGCATATCAAAGAACCCTAAGAATTCAATTTTTGTTAAAATCAAACTAAGTTTAATTTTGGACCCTTTGGACCTTAATGTAGACCAATTTGAAAACGGAACCACAAATTAAGAATCTAAATACACGGTTAGATTCGGCATATCAAAGAACCCCAATAATTCAATTTTTGATGAAATCAAACAAAGTTTAATTTTGGACCCTTTGGACCTCAATGTGGACCAATTTAAAAACAGGGCCCAAAATCCAAAAACTAAATACACGGTTAGATTCAGCATATTCAAGAACTCCAAGAATTCAAGAATAAAACCCCATTGAAATTGGTCAAGAAATACGAAGTATCTTCTTTTGCACAATACCGTGCAATTAAATATTTCTTGCTATTGCGCAATACTGTACAATTGACAATTTCTTGCTATTGCGCAATATTGTGCTATTGCGCAATTGAAGATTTCTTGCTATTGCGCAATACTGTGCAATTGAAGATTTCTTGCTATGTGCAATACTGTGCAATTGAAAATTTCTTGCTATTGCACAATACTTATTATATAATAATTTACACATCCTGTTTTGGTGTGCATCTCCTACCATATCATTATTATTTGCTTTTAAATATAAATCAGAAATAACCAACTTAAAATGGAAAATTTTAAAAGAAAAAAAAGGAAAAAAAAAAAAATCCCCCCCCAAATTTTTTGAACCCCCTTATGATTCATCACCCCCAAACTCAATCCCAGCCTTCCCTTTGTGGTATGGTACCTTGCAGTACAATTACAGAGAGATCCATACACTTGAACACAAGTTATTGTCTGGAAACTAGAAAAATGTGTTTTTTGGCCCCAAATTCCTAAACGTTTAGGGCAATTACCCCCAAACTCAAACCCAGCTTTCTCTTTGTGATATGGAACCTTGTAGTACAATTTCAGAAAGATCTATACACTTACACACAAGTTATTGTCCTGAAACTAGAAAAATGCTTGTTTTTTGCCACTATTTCCAAAAATATTGAGGCAATTACCCCCATCATCAATCCCAGCCTTCCCTTTGTGGTATGGTACCTTGCAGTACAATTTCAGAGAGATCCATACACTTGAACACAAGTTATTGTCTGGAAACTAGAAAAATGCTTATTTTTGGCCGCCAATTCCTAAACGTTTCGGCAATTACACCCAAACTCAATTCCAGCTTTCCCTTTGTGATATGGAACCTTGTAGTACAATTTCAGAAAGATCCATACACTTACACACAAGTTATTGTCATGAAACTAGAAAAATGCTTGTTTTTTGTCCCTTTTTTGGCCCCTAATTCCTTAACTTTTGAGGCAATTACCCCCAAAATCAATCCCAGCATTCCTTTTGTGATATGGAACCTTGTGGTACAATGTCAGAGAGATCCATACACTAACACACAAGTTATGTCTGGAAGTTACAAAAATGCTTATTTTTGGCCCCTAATTCCTTTACTGTTGGTACCATAATCCCCAAAATCAATCCCAACCTTCCTTTTGTGGTATTGAACCTTGTGGTAAAATTTTATAGAGATCCATTCACTTAAACTAAAGTTAAAGTGCGAAAACCAATGTGTCTTCGGACGACGACGACGCCAACGTCATACCAATATACGACCACAAAAATTTTTTTGCGGTCGTATAAAAATGCTTATTTTTGGCCTCTTATTCCCTTACTGTTGGTGCCATAACCCCAAAATTAATCCCAACCTTCCTTTTGTGGTATTGAACCTTATGGTAAAATTTCATAGAGATCCATTCACTTAAACTAAAGTTAGAGTGCGAAAACCTATGTGTCTTCGGACGACAATGTCATACCAATATACGACCGCAAAATTTTTTTGCGGTCGTATAAAAATAGTCTACCTTATAATACACAATAATATAACCTATAACCTACCTTTAAAAAGACAATTTATTATTATTATTATCTAGTTCTTTTGGTGTACCCAGTAGACAGAATATTTCAAACATGTTAGAAAATCGAGCCTATAAAGCAGGTTTCCTTTGGGGTCTAAGTATCGGCCGACTTCGTAGTGGGAATTCAATGATTGTTTTCATTAGCACTTGCTTATCTAGTTGGGTTCAAACGGAATCTAAATGCTTGTTTTGAGGTGTTTAATTTACATATTAAAGAATTTCAAAACTCATGTCAACACCTGTCATGGTGGCAGGTGGGGGTCAGGTTTTATACTACTAACATTCAGGTCGTCACTGAACCTTTTGATTCTGTTTTTTTTTATCAATGTATCTATCAGATAAAGGAACATTGTCTATAGCATTCATCTATTTCCATTCACTTAGTCCAGAACTCTCAAGTCTCACATTTCATGAACTGTTTGTGTTTATAAAAAACAAGCTAAAGAGAGCATAAAAGGAATGACAAAACAACAATATAATTTGAAGGTGTAAAATGTTAAGATGGCGATATGCTGTTTATATAAGGCCTTCTGTTCTTCATTCTTGTTATGTTTCATTAATAATTGTGGATTTCAAAGAATGAAAAAGGGTAATGGACAACAGACCCAAGTCGTACTGGAAAAAGTTCAGGACACATAGGCCCATTTCAGCTTTTTTTCTTATTTCAATTTAACGGTTTAGCAATTACTTTTTTGTAAAACATTGTCCGATGAACCATGACTGAAGTTACGAGTATGTTAATTTGAGAGTTTAATGCAAAGTTAAATTAAAAATGGTAATGAGATAAGAAACATAGTTAAGAGTATTAACTAAGCAAAACGGGTGCCAAATGTGGAACAGGATCTGCTTATCCTTCAAGTGTACCTGAGTCTTTTAGTTTTCTATGTTGTTCATCTTTTGCCAAGGCATTGTCAGTTTGTTTTTCAACTGCTGAGTTTGTATGTTTCTTTGGGTATCTTTCGGCTCAATTTCAAGTCAATGAACTAAAGGCCAGTCATTCCCCAGGTTGCCGGACATTGGGCAAAGGCCAGTAATAATTGGTTTGGTCCAGTTAAAAGAAATGCATTACTGCACCAAATGACCAGTAAATTTATTAATTTTGTCCTAGTCAAATGTTAATGACCAGTAAATTTCTAGAGATCTTGGGAACTACTGATTCAAGGTGCAGAGCCATATGACCTGTGAGAATGAAAGTTGCCAATACCGATACAACTACATACCAAATACCATTGACCTTTAAGGGGGTTTCTTTCAATTGACTAACAAACTTTAGCATGTAAACTATGCAAAGTGGCAGGCAACTAAATGATGGGGGATTAGGCCAAATAATCTCCATGGAAAAGAGATGTGCCAATGCTTAAAAGTGCATGCCAAACATCATAGACTACATGCAATACATTGCTTGTTCTGCTGCCAGAAACAGCATTTGCAAGTCTCACTTTCTAATTGCCTTGAAAATGAGAGAAGCAATTACAACTGCATACTAAATATCATTGACTTACCACCAGTAGTCTTTAACTGACCTCATCACAAACAGCTTTAATAGAACACAAGTGATGGGGGAGTGCCAAATAACTGGATTGAAAAATGAAACTAACCATAGGGTCCCATAAATTAGCTGTCAGACACAAAAGGCACAAGTTTCACTTCCACAACTTTTTTAAGGGGAGAAAAAAACCATAATTTCATGTGAATCTGTTTCTTTACTATTATTATGTCTATTTTCAAATAAAACAGTGTTCATGAAAGTTCAAATAGCATTTTTCAAATCATATTTTAATGCTGGACTGTGGTCTTTCAATACATAAAATATAAAAATAAACAAGACTAGAAGACTACATTTATTCTTAATTTATTACAACATGAAAGTGAGATGTCTTTTTGGAACTTTGTACATGAACAGTTAGAATGGTATGAGTGGAAAAATGTTTTAAATGTCTTATTTTTATTGTCCAAAAAGTCAACTAAATAATGCACACATACAGAAATGAAGAAATAAAAGTTAAAATGTCCCACTGTCAACAGACAGGCATCATGATTTTCTTATTAAAATATTACTTCAAAACTATGATTGTAAAAAATAACTTTAAAAAAACTTGTCCAATGTCACAATGTTAAAACACATGATATGTCTGAGATGATGCTTATGCTCTCTCTCCTCGAATTCTTCTGGCCAACTGAATGTCTTTAGGCATAATGGTCACTCTTTTAGCGTGAATTGCACACAAGTTAGTGTCTTCAAACAATCCTACAAGGTATGCTTCACTGGCTTCCTGTAAGAATATAAGATATTTGATAATGAAAAGAACGTAATAGGGAGTATTCAGAATGTAAAAACTGCAATCAACAATTCAAGCTTGCCATATGATGACTTCCTGAATCTTGTAATAAAAATATTAATTAAAATACATAAAGAGGCATCATGTTCCTGGTAAAAACAAAAGTTTACAAGACACCATACTTTCTTTTGTATTACTTTTGGCAATAACCAGGATTAACACTGGAGTAATATCTAGTAAACCTTACAATTTTTACCTGTTAAATTTAGAGCATGTTCATCTAGTAGTCCTCAGACCTGGCGTGAATAACATTTAAAAGGTACTCACTACAAAGTTTCAGCTTATTTTGTAGTGTTTATGATCTGGTTTTAATTGCCCAACCATAAGATGAGAAGTACCTGAATATAGCACTATTTTACCTACAATGTACCACTAGTATTATACTTAGTTAAACTAAGACTTGTGAAGTAGACCATGCCGTTTTCACTTTCCAACCAATTAATATAGACAAAAGTTAAAAGGCCAGCAATCTAAATATGTTGTATTCATGATTAAAAATTTTTTATACCTGTAATGCTCCAATAGCTGCACTTTGGAATCTCAAATCGGTTTTAAAGTCTTGAGCAATTTCTCTCACTAGTCGCTGAAATGGCAGCTTCCTGATCAACAATTCTGTGGATTTTTGGTATCTTCTGATTTCTCTCAAAGCAACTGTTCCTGGTCTGTAACGATGAGGTTTTTTCACACCACCAGTAGATGGGGCACTTTTTCTTGCTGCCTTTGTGGCTAACTGTTTCCTAGGAGCTTTTCCTCCTGTAGACTTTCTAGCTGTCTGCTTTGTTCTTGCCATTGCTTATAACTGAAATTAAAATATTTTTATATAATACTCAACACCATGTTAATAACAGAAGTTTATCTAAGAAGTACTTTCACAAAGGTAAAATTGCAATCTTGAATTCAATGAAAATTATCATATTGATGATTAACAAAAGATAACTTGTTTTCAAGACAGTTTTGGAATGTTTTTAATCACAATTTCATATATTCTCAGATCTGGACATCCTGGCATTTAAATTTTTCAAGGGGTGATGCCAATAGGAATCCTCTAGATTTTTCATCTATTTGAAGGTGATTACTGATTATCTATATTGCCGATTATTTTTTAACCAGAGGATATAGTATGATAAAAATCAAAATGGAGATATTGTATAGTGTCTTTAACAATATTAAAAGAGTAAAATTACTATATTCAACTGGTGTCGATATATATCAATTAAATTAATTTGCATTGAAGTCTATGGAAAATCTAGAGGATTCTTATTGGCATCACCTCTCAACATTATTTACATAACACAAATGCTAATCATTGATTGGTCAGTTACATGTTGTGATGTCACTGCAGATCTGAGAATATGATGCAATAAATCTGATCAACATACACTTTAGGCAAAAAAAAATAATATATATCTGTTTACGGTTATCCGACCTACCCTACTTTTGAGCGCCGACCCTAAGTCATTTTATTTCCGTCATAATGTGAAAAATAAACTGAACTAGTGTCAAAAGCGAAGTTAGTGTTGCAAATGATATAAATCAATAAATTGCCTGATACATCCCAATGTTCACAATCATGAATATGACAGCTGTTTTAAGGAAATTCGCAACTCGTGTGATGAAATAAACACTTTGATGCCATTTTTTTCCAAGAGAAAAATAATCCAATCATCAAAAATACGGGTAAACTCGGCCCACAACAATTTGAAACGGCATGACTCAAAATCATGTCACAAAAAATAAAATGAAAACAAAATTCAAATGAAAATACTGACCTACCTACCCTATTTTTTAAAGTATGTAACCTTAAACAGACATATATTTTTTTTTGGCCTTATGGCTATTTGGAAATCTGCGCTACTTGAACTTTTAGCATCGTTCAACAATCACTTTTCCATTGTGGCTACATATTCTATTGAGACATCAATTTTAAGGGAACCTTTGTGATGCCCAGTAATGGCAGACAAATAGCAATAAGGTGTATTATATATTTAAAATACTTGTGCAAGATCTAAAAAATCACAAGGGGTCATGTTTAATGACATTTATCCAATGATGCAATAAACTCTTTCCATAATTTCAGACAGTTTTGCACCAACCTTATTCATTGTAAACATTTCTCAAAATTATTAGTAAGGCATCAAAATTTTCAAGATTTTAATTAATTTTTGCGTAAATTGCAAGTTAATAAGTTATTTATCTGTTGTTTACAGGTAAATGTTTGCTATCAATTCAATATTATTACATATAACATTAGATTGTCTTAATGTAATATACATATTAATGTAAACATACATTTGTCCCATCTAACAGAAGTTCCCCTTGTGTCAATGGTGAGCAAATTTGTCGGCCAGTACTGAAAATCGCAGAGATTATTGCATCACGATATGAAACATTTAATCAAAGTGATTGTTGCAGGACGTTACGTTAGTCGTTATTCCGAATAATGATTTACAGTAGTAAAGTACAGACAAAACAATGTACTACTACTGGTTTATACCAGTTGTAAACAAACAATGGCGGGATATCCCAGTTGTTCTAAAAATAGATCAACAGTACGCGGTTCATTTTTTAAAATTTAAGTTATAAAGCTTTCGTTTTAAACTCATGTGTGTTAATCATGACCATAGCTTATATAAGACATTATTTAGATCATGTCTGAACTCATCTGAAAATTTCGTTTTAACAAATGACAACCTGGTAAATTTTCTCTATAGAAAATAACAACAAATAAAATGGCGACCAGTAACACTTTTCACATTCAAACTGCTTTTTCTTGAAGATGTCTTCAAAGAAATAGATAAATGTATAGTTAAACCACTGCTTTATTTCTTATTCTACTAGTTCTAACAATCAAAGGTTTTACACTTCTCTTACCTTCGAGGTAGTTTTGCAATTTGCCGCAATTTTTTTCAACTAAACAAATTGGGAATACGTAATGATGTATATTGAGTACAACGTCATTGTGAGAACGTTGATATCATTGGATATCACGGTTTTCAGAGAAGGATTTTCATTGGTCAGTAAACATAATATATCATTGGTTAAATTTTATTACTTTCTACATTTTGATTGGATTAAAAGCTTGCATTTTCATTGGGTTAATTTTGTACAACTTCAATCCGCTTTAGGATTTTTGCAGTTTACATTATACTAAAGATTACAAACATAAAATTAACCATATTTAAATCATAAAATATTGATAGTTTTAAAAAACAGTCGATGTACCATTTGGGATTTTTATCATGTTTGCTCTGTATTCTGTATTCTGTAGATGTCGCTGTTGACACTGGATTGTCTCTCTTGTATAAGGGAACGGTACAGTTATGTTTGTGTTTTGGAGGACTAGGTCTTGATCGTACATCAGTTTTTTTTCTGATTCTAAGAAAACTAACCGTCAATTGAATAGCAACTATTTTGGTGAACGTTAACTACACATGTGTGATTATGAATGTTTTAAAAAAATAAAAAGTAGAATTATAATAAAAATACCGAAATCCAAGATACTCAAAACGGAAAGTCCTATAAGATAAGATAAGATAAGATAAGATATTTTTTATTTCCAATTATGGGCCCCAAAGGGCATAAACATTACAACATCAATAATTTTTTCATAATACAATACAAACAATGAGATAAAAAAAAAAAAAAAGTTAAACGAGAACTATTTAAGTTCTTAAAGAATACGTAGATAAAGAATCTATAGTATGTTTTTTTTTTAATACTAATGCATTTTATTGCAAGTGTGGTTGATATAGATAGCAAACAAGCAGCCCAAAAAGAAAAAAAGAAAAATAGATATCCACATATGTATAGTACACAAAAAGTTGGATCAATTAAATATATAATAATTAGCCAAAAAGAAAGTAGAAATTAAACATGTCCATGACTCATCCTGTGTCAGCAGCAAATAGGAAAGCATTATGGTTTCCTAAAGGCAGCTGACACCAGGGGGCGATACCTTATGGGCCATAGGCATGTAAAATGTGTGTAAATGTCTCTTTCCTACCTGTATCAAAAGCAAACAAGGAAGCATCATAGGTAACTTGAATGCAGTTGATACCAGGGGACGATGCCTCAAGGATATAAGAGAACATTTGAATAAATAATATATCTTAACAATTATTTTTTTTTTTAATCGGCTAGTATGTTTGTGATATTCAGATGAATATAATTTTCTATGTCCAATCAAATGTATATACACACATAGATTTCCTTTAACTAATCTTCACTAAGGAAGATGTTTGTATATAAAATTACATATTATTTTAAGTAACTCAACATTTTCTACACTAAATAACCAGATAATTTTGCTTTGACTGTTCATATGCCTATATGAGGGTAGGAATGCCCTTTACCGTCAGTCGTCAAACGGGCATTTTCGGCTACCGTTAGCGTCAAATTGGTTAAAATTTTACCGTGATTCGTCAAAATATCCTTATCGTGATTCGTCGAGGTCTCAAAGAATTATCGTTACCGTTATTTTTTGGAAAAAATTTAACGTGATTCGTCAAAATGATCAGTCGATTTTTATATCGTCTAAAGGAAAGTGTACATTTTATCGTCATGCACCAAAATTTACCGTTTACGTCATTTGGCAAGATTTTTTACCGTTATTCGTCATGAAGGTACCCCCATTACGACCCTCCTATATGGAATGACAAAAACAATTTTAGCTCAAACACATCAAACGAATGGAAAAACAACTGTCAAATTCCGGCTGACCTGGTACAGGCATTTCCTTTTGTAGACAACGTCCCTCGACACTTCAATGGGTGCATACATAAAAATGGGCGATGAATGAAAGAAGGAAATGAAACTAAGAATTGAAACGCCGGTTTTTCTTGATAGTTGATCTTTACTGTGTAATGTTTCAACAACATCTATTATCACATTTAGCGGAAACATAAATAAAGTTACTTTCAGCAAAGCATCGAAGACTATAATAGTGTTAATATGCTTACGGTTATCTTATATTTCTTTTAAAAAGGGCGGGGGGGGGGGGGGGGGGTGCAATCTAGTCTACAAGTACAATTGTGTTTCTAGTTTAGTCAGGATCATCAAGGATCATATACTTGCTGACATAATGCTGCAGAATCAACTGATATAAGTATGTCATAGACATCGGTAAATACTCCCGGCCTGACAGGGCTGCCAATTATTAGTCGGCTCACGCTATGAGACTTTCGCATTTTCATGCATATTTGGCGGCATTTTCCTCTGATCTATTGTTTTTTCTCTTTGATCTTTACAATTTTGGCCAAATCTCACGCATTTGCTTCATGAAAACTTGGCAGAACTGCATGCCTGGATATGGTGGCTTTGAATATATTATAGGCTGGTAACGTACCGTACAATCAAGACACTAAAACTAGTTATTTGGACACGTACACGTAAATTTTCATATTTGATATCACTATGCTAGGCCAAATTTTTCTCCTACAATGTAGGCAGTCTCAGTTTTTTTATTTTTAAATACATTTGAAAACAAACGCCAAAATAATTTCGTGTAATTTTTACTTATTCTTCAGGAAAAAGTTAGTCTTTATTGTATGATTCGGACGGCATCCCGGCATGAATTGTAACAATTTTTAACTATGAATAAAAGGATTCGTGGGGTAGCGTTATATATATAACATGTATTACACGGTTAAATATGAAAATTGATAATTGACTTTAGTCTTAGAAACAAATTATATAAACAAAACTCAGTCTTACCTCGTTATCCTTTTGACTCGATTCAATGAGGACTCTGGCTTTTCCTTTATGTATGTATATATATAGGTCATACAGTGGCATTCAGATGAAATGCCGGCATACCCCAAGGCATATCCAATGATATGATATGCCTATTTAATCTTGCACGATCATTGTAAAATAGAGGATGACAATCGATGCCTCGAGTGAAAACTCAATTGTGAGAATTTTCGAATTGTTCTTGTTATTGTAATATATATACAAAAACTTGTTTGTACGCTTTTCCTGGAAGTCACTGACCAGTTACTACAAATAGCCCGAAGTAAGCTATGCGTCCGACGGAAATCTTCTAATGCTTGCACGACTTATGTATACTCGACCCAAATGTTTCTAGTCACTTGTCTTACCTCCATGACAAATGTGTTATTGTCCCCACAAACAAAGCCCCAAAACTATATAGTTTTATGTGTAAATCACATTATATAAACTGACAATGGAATTAGTTATTGAAATTCATTTGGTAACCCAAAAATATACTCCAACGGTACTTAATAGGTTTCATAGACAATCGTGTGTCTGCTTAATGTTCCTTTTGAATTTCAACCAAAAGCGAAATAAATGGTCAGTCTTACTTTACTCTATACTAAATATCAAAATTACATGTAAGTGTCCCTAGAAACATCGTTACGAAACCTCTTAATAAATTACTAACATTTATCCTATCAGCAATCAAAAGTGCATGGGTTTAAAATGTGGATACTTAAACAATCCAAAGATCTGTTAGATTACATACAATCTATTTCTCCCTCTCCACTTTCGATAGAAAAAAAAACAATTGATTTCATCCTTTGCACATGGATTCCTCTAGACAGGTGGAAAAAATAAGTCCAACTAAGTCTAAAAAAAAAGAATACTAGTAACCAACATAGATCCCTTGTTTAAGAAGGACAAAATGTAGTTTAAACAAAAGCAAGACGAAAACACCCTTCAAGTATAGTCAAACAAAACAATCTCTCAAACTGGCATCATTAAAATGCTTGAACTTTATAATTTGAGTGCGTATTTGTTATGTTTGGTGAACGTGTTTTTCAACAGACAGTTGGCATTTCTATTGGAACCAACTGTGTTCCTACTGTCGCCGACTTCTTTCTTTATTTGTTAGATACAGACTTTCATACAGAGACTTCTCAAGTATCTAGCATTATCCGTTAAATTTGCGTTCCGATATTGTAGATGGTGTCCTCTAATGGAATGATAAATAAATAGTAATAATTGTGGGAATCTATCCTATTTTACTTGCAATAAAGGGCGCCACATATGCATTTGCGTCTGCTTCTTATTTTGAATTACATCTATCATTACTTGTTAGAATCGGACGAGAACTGAAAGATATCATAATTACAATGTTCCCATTATGAAATTCTTAACCTTCAAGAACCCCAAAGCCGCTCACCCACGTTTTTTTGGTGGGGTTGGTGTTGCTCAATCTTTAGTTTTTTTGTGAATTGTTTTGTTGGCAGTACTTATGATTTATCTTTTGGGCATTTTTTCTTCAACTTATATAGCAAAAATGATCAACAAGACAAGATTTACAAATAAGTTAACATCATGAACATGGCCGAAATCGTCAATCAAGTCGTTATTGGAGTTCTTGCTACACTTTCTCTCTATCTATTATAATATTAAAGATAATAACCAATAAAATGCTTCGCTGAGCACAGCTGGATACGACCGCAGAGGTCTAACCCTGAACAGTTGGGGCGAAAATGGACACTCTATTCGCGCTTGATACAGGTCTGAATTTGGATTGTAATTAAATATTTGACACATAATAGGTTTCTGACACCGAATAACTGTAGTCAAAGAACGTAGAATTGGTTATATGATTTGAATTTATATTCAATTTTTTGCTTTTGTGCAATACACTATGCTGTTGCGAATTGACCCCGCCCCCAACCAAAAAAAAAAATTTACCCCCCCCTTTTTTATTGCTTTGTGAAATACACTATGCTGTTGCATATTGACCCCCCTTTTTTTAACCCCCCCCCCCCTTTTTATGTAAAAAAAAAATATTTGAAGAAATTTTCTTTTTAATTTCTGAAATCTGAAATGAAATAAAAAATTGCCCCCCAAAATTTCTTTTTTACCCCCCTCCCCTTTTCCAAAAAAAAAATCTTTCCCTCAAGATATGGTCATAATCTCAATTCAAATTTCCAATGGAGTTTGCAACCATAATTACCAATTCAAATACATCATAAAAGTCTTAAATAGATAATTTAAAAGCAGTGTAAGGGAGGTA